AGTAATCTAGATGGAACCAAATTGGGAAAATGATCCTCATCTCACATGGTTTCACCCCAACCTATCTATAATTTGAGCTCACCTTTTGTGCTAATTGTTGACAAAGGGGGAGAGAAACAAAGATATGCGTGATAGGGGAATATTTGACATAGGGGGAGAGATATGAGATATATGATAAAGGAAAGAGATCAATTAAAATTTTGAGCACACAAGTAGGGGGAGCAAGCTCATAAACTTGTATGTTGTATTTGAATGTGCATTTCATATATTTGCTTGCATGGCACAAGTTTTAAGATTTCAATATCCATGCTTGTGTGGTGTATGCTAGTTATATGCTTAAATGATGAAATGAAAAACTAGCATGCATAGGTAATCTAGTGACTTTATTTCCAAGTGGTATCAAACTAAACTAACTAGACTTATGTTCATCATATGAAAACTAGACCCTTGCTTGTAATATTGATCTCATGAGGTATTCTAGTTTTTGTGAATGTCTAGTTACAAATGGTGCTAAGGATGGTATATTGGTGCACTCCGATTGGTATCACGCTTCAAAGGTCCATCTCTTATACCTTAGCATCATTTGGTAGAAATTATCTCCTATATTTCCTATCTAAGCATATGTGCAAGCTACAATCCAAACTCTTAGCACATATATAGGGGGAGCAATTGCTACCATATGGGATTCATGAAACTTGTCCATATTCTTTTACATATGGTAAATATGCTTGGGCAAGCAACATGGATTCATCTAAAATTCAATTCATATCTTTGTGAAAGGGTTGTCATCAATTACCAAAAAGGAAGAGATTGAAAGCTCTAGTTTGGTTTTGGTTAATTGATGAAACCCTAAGTGCTAACCTAGTTTATCAAAGTGATTATGAGATAGGTAGCACTACTCCAAGTGATGAAGCAATGGCGAAGATCATGACGATGGTGATGGCATGGTGATGATCAAATGCTTGAACTTGGAAAAGAAGAAAGAGAAAAACAAAAGGCTCAAGGCAAAGGTATAAATAATAGGAGCCATTTTGTTTTAGTGATCAAGACACTTAGCGAGTGTGATCACACTTAGGATTGATAGCCGTACTATTAAGAGGGGTGAAACTCGTATCGTAATGCGGTTATCAAAGTGCCACTAGATGCTCTAACTCATTGCATATGCATTTAGGATCTAGTGGAATGCTAACACCCTTGAAAATGATTTGTAAAAATATGCTAACACATGTGCACAAGGTGATACACTTGGTGGTTGGCATATATTGATCAAGGGTGGTGAAGTTTGGGTGCAAGGGTAAGAAAGTCCACCAGAGGAGTGTCCACCCGTAGAGTGTGGACAGTCCAACGGTGCCACCGGTGCCCTAGACAGAAAAGACGGAGGTCACTGGAAGTGACCGGATGCTGGTCTCGGTTGGACCGGAGCATCTGGTCAGGTGTAACAGCGAAGACGCTGGCGTCGGTCAAACGACCGGACGCTGGGTCGCTCTGCGACCGGACGCTGGCAGGGTGCGTCCGGTCAGTGCTGACGTATGCTGACGTGAGGCGCACAGAGGAGACGTTGAGTGACCGGACGCTGGGTGTGTCCGGTCGAGCATGACCGGACGCGTCCGGTCGTGAAAATTCACGTTTGGAAGCTTACTAGAAACGACCGGACGCTGAGGTCCAGCGTCCGGTCACTTTCTAACTGACGCATCCGGTCTTCACTTGACTGTTGAGATCGGGTGATCATCGTTTGAAGCCGATGACACGTGGCATGCATCGGGCGACCGGACGCTGGGGTCCTACGTCCGGTCAATATGACCAGAGCGTCCGGTCACCCCGTGTTGTGCCCAGTGAAGCGGTACAACGGCTCTATTTCATGGGGGCTTCTATTTAAGCCCCATGGCCGGCTCAAGCTCACTCTCTTGGCCATTTTTCATTGATATAGCAACCTTGTGAGCTTAGCCAAAGCCCTCCCACTCATCTCCATCATTGATTCATCATCTTTGTGAGATTGGGAGAGAATTCAAGTGCATTGCATGAGTGATTGCATCTAGAGGCACTTGGTATTCGTGTTTTGCTGTGGATTTCGCTTGTTGCTTTTGGTGGTTGCCACCACCTAGACGGCTTGGTGCAGCGGTGGAGGATCGGCACGAGTTGGTGATTGTTTGTGGCCGTCTCCGATGATTGTGAGGGGAGTTGTACCTTCCCCGGCGGAGTGCCAAAAGGTAACTCTAGTAAATTGCTCGTGTCATTGAGTTACCTCACTTGTGGGTAGGTTCTTACGGTGTCCAATCATGTGGACGAGGTTTGTGCAACACCTCTTAGCCGCCGAACTACCAAGTGTTGGTCGACACAACGGGGACTAGCGTGTTGGCAAGCACGTGAACCTCAGGAGAAAATCGGTTGTCTCTTGCCCTTTGGTATTCTCCCGGTGATTGGTTTTATATTCATCTTGTGATTGGTTCATTCCTCTTCACGACGGTATAATCATCCTACTCACTTATTTATATTCTTGCAAACTAGTTGTAGCAAGCTCTTTAGTATAATTAGTATTGAGAGCTTGCTTTGCTATTCAAGTTTATTTAGTGGAGCTCTTTAGAGTAGCAAGTTTGAGGGCTCTTAGTGAGTAGTATCATAGCAAGTTGTGTGTCTAGCTATCTTGCAACTAGAATTGTTGGATAGGTGGCTTGCAACCCTTGTAGAGCTAGAGCAAGTTTGCATTTAGTTATTTGTCATACTAATCAAATTGCTCTAGTTGATTTGTAGAATTTTAAATAGGCTATTCACCCCCCTCTAGCCATATTAGGACCTTTCACACCATCACTCCCTGCGCCCATTGACTCTCTGAACAGTATGAAACACGTGAAACATAAAACATTTGAATGCAACATCCGTATGAAACGGATGAAACATTTAGAACATACACTTGCAAGATATGTGTGAAACATATGCAACATCAGATAAAATACTTGCAACTTACGACCATGAAAACATGTACTGCAACATAAGACTGAAACAACTGAAACATTTGGAATATATTCTTGCAACATATGTGTGAAACATGTGCAACATCCAGATCAGAACGCTTGCAACATACGTCTGGAACAAATAAAATATTTTGCACAACACCTCTAAAACTCTTGCAATATACCTCTAAAACACTTGCAATATGTGCAACATCATTGATCTGCTTTTTCAACATTCATATGTAACAATTGCAACATACCTTTGAAACACTTGCAATATGTGTAACATCCCAGATCTACTTTTGCAACATTCATATAAAACAATTGCAACATACCTTTGAAACACTTGAAACATACGCTTGCAACATGCGCTTCCATCGCAACATCTCCTTGCTGAAGTCGTGCGTCATAGTGGCTACGACGTCGTTCATGTGTTTTTTTTCTCGAATACTCAAAAGAGTTCCGTGGTTCATGTGTACATAAGGGCCCCAGAATTTTGATTCGCCCTAGGCCCCTAAAAATTCAGGACCAACCCTGTCCAAAGGTGCATGGGGTGGGAGCATATGCCCCCCTACATCAACACCTCTGCTTCATGTGGTGGGCAAGGGGAATGGAGGGGATCCTCTCCTCTACTTCGTGTGGTGGCGGGGAAGAGTGCGAGGTAACAACCAAGGTAAGCAGATCAGCCCATACATCAAGAATCTAACAGAAATATGGAGGCTAGGTGAGAGCAGGAAGCAAGAACATACCAAGAAGATCCTTGTCGAGTGCCTTGCCAAGCGCCCCCAATGAGCAGCGATCCGACGACGGTGGCTGCTCCTCCTCTGGTCTCCGCTTCTTAGCGAGCCAGCGATGGTGGCCGTGCCAACCCTACGAGGTCGCCAACCCGCGCTGCTGCAACAGATGGAGAGGGTCGGACTAGGGCTAGTCTAGTGCATGCTGTCTTGTTGGACTGAAGCCACTAGTGGACCGAAGTTTTAGCCCGTTAGCAAACTAGACCGTTCAAACTAAAACCAAACAAAATCGATCCAGTTTAACAGTTAGCCCAAACCCAACCAGTCCACCAGGCTTCCGAGATTATTTCCACCCAAACCAAAATGAGCCCAAAAGGAAAACTAGACCATAAAAACTGGGCTTGGCCCAAACCATTGTCAGGTTTAGATAGGGTTAATACATTTACTGCATATCATACCATGCTATTGTGGACACTACAAAGAATTGCGGACCGCTATAGCAATCCGCTACCTTAAATAGCGGCCATTGAATTCCAGTCGGCTAAATCTAATTCGTTATTACGTCATAACGGTAACGCACGCTATAGTGACAACTACGAGTACTATATAGTACCATGGAGGGTCACATGAATTGGTTTGTTGGTCAGCTTGAGGTGCTCTATGGATTGGATGGAGATTTAAAGAATTTTATCCGCTATTATACAATTTTTTTGGACTATGAGATTTTCAAAATTTGTGTCTTCAACTTTTGGACTCGGTTCTAGAATCCAACTAGTTTAGATGGGATAGATTTATTTTATGGGATTCTTAAAATCTGCAGAATTCTAAACGAGGCCTTAAGTTGATGAGGGCTAGTTAGGCCCATTTACGACCTGCCTAGCTACGGCCTTTAACCGCTAGAAGGTTTGCGAGGGCTTGGGCTGTGCAAATGTTATAATGGACCGAGCAGCAGTGCTAAATTCAAGTTGCTCAAAAAAAAAAAAAAACAGAGCTAAATTCAAATTCTCTGGCATGGGGCAAGCCACGTCATCACGCACTAATTAAAAATCAGCAGCATAAGAGCGACGTATAATCATCCTGATTGCTAGTCATAGGTTTGTTTATTTAATCCCTTGTGCATAATTTTCTACTCTACTCTACGGCGTGTCAATTACGGCTACAACTCGAATTATTTTTCTAACACTATCACAAATTTAATGCTAGCGTAGCCTAGGCAATGAAGCACGGAACCTATAGCTGATCCGGCGAGCTGATCGACTCTACCCACTACCCGCTTGTTCTTTTCTTCTCCACTTTGGGCTCACCTACCGGATCCTCCATGGCCACCCTCACCTTGCCGCCGACCAACAACGCTGCCGGCCAGGCCGCCACCCAGCAAAGCTTAGCAGAGTATAGGCCCGCCACCTTTATTTCCTTTCTTCTTTTGTTTTGCGGTTTCTTCGTACAAAGAAATTGATATCGAATCATGATTTCTTGGATTTTTTCTCCTCCTGATGCAACGGGATCAGGAAGCCTGCCAAGGATGCAGCAGATACGGGCGGGATGGAGTCCGAGTACGTGTTCCCCGGATTGGGAATCCGTGGTTTGTTTTTCTGCTGTTTGGGACAACGACTCGTGGATTTTGTCTGACGCGGTTTATTCCGATTGAGCAGGTGGGTTGTTCTCGGGAAATCGGACATCGTCCCGGCGGATGTGGCCGCCGCCGCCGCCGCGGGGCACCGCCGCCTCAACTTCTCGCCGCTGCCGATGATACCTATCTGGTGGGAAGTGGTGGATGGGGACAGCAATTCCGCAATTGGCCGTGTATCTCTTTTCAGGTTCGAAACCAAAGCGTACAAACTAACATTCTTCCTCGCTCAGGGTGCAGATGGTTCTTGGGGGCGTGGTTTACACGGCCTTGCCGTTCTACAAGAGGGCGAGGAAGGTCGAAGGTATGTTCACATCCCTACCACTGTTTATTGCAAGGAGCAGATGGTGACTGGGGCCATCGGAGCATAGTTCACAGGATTCTTATCAGATTATTAGTTATATAGTCTATCCATAGATGACAAGATGAGCTAGACAAATTGCTGCTACTGTTCGCGGCTTATTGCAATGACTGAATTACTATGTCAGGAGAAACGTTAGCCAATGTAGAAACTGCAGTGGAGGTCGTGGAGCATGTTGCTGAGGTGACAGAGAAGTTGGCTGCAAATGCGGCCAATTCCCTGCCGGAGAACGGGTCCCTGCACAAGGCTGCCGTGGAGATCGAGTATATTGCTGAAGTGGTGAATAAGGATGCACATAAGGTTGAAGCAGTCATCAATAAGGTCTGCTATGCCTTATCCACGCTCTTATGTGAAACTGACTATTTCAATATGTCAAGGATATGCCAGTTGCAAATTAGACAATGAGAATCTTATGTGTGCGTTATTGAGTACTCCGTCTGTTCCAAATTATAAGACATTTTGGCTTTTCTAGATTCATAGCTTTTGCTACGCACCTAGATATATGTTATGTCTAGATACTTTCTAGCAGCCAGTTCGCTTGGTCGTATTTGGCTTATAAGCCATGGCTTATTAGCTAACGAACAATATTTTTCTCTCACACCAAATCAGCCAACCGTACTTTCAGTCATGGCTTATAAGACAAACCAACCCAAACGAACAGAGCGCTAGAAATGCCAAAATGTCTTATAATTTGGGATGAAGGAAGTAGTTAGCAGTTGTCGTTTGTCATCAGTAAAACTTAACATGGAAAGAACATATGCAAACAAACAAACTGACCATTTTTAGCTTTTAAGATAGGGAAATGCTGACCGCTTTAAGTTCAGTCAAGGATTTGCTAGCTGTTTGTTCTAAGAAACCAAGGGGAGACTCAAACTTTTCTGGCAGTCCCACATACTAAGATTTCAATAACTTGGGGCTGGGGATAAAGCATGTGCATATTTCTTGGTAAAAAAGGAATGTTTCTAGTTTCTTGCAAAACATGTTTTCTCTTCCCGACCAAGTGAGAAACTGTCCTGTGCCTGCTTTTTTCCACAAACATTGTAGCTGAACATTTAGTATGCTTCGGTAGCTCCAAGCCTCCAACTTCAAAACAAAGTTTATAGAGGCATTTGCATTGCAGCTAGCAAAGTAGAGAAGCAGTTTTCTTCGATATGCTAAAGATGGTATCATGTCTACAAATCCTAGTTCCATAGGTTATGAAAGAAAGTAAATCCCTTCTAATGCGCCCCTCCTCACCGATGCAGATTGAAGAGGTGAGTGAGGAGATCGATGCCGCAGTAGAACCTGTCATTGAAGAGCTTGAGAAGGACTTCAAACCGAATACCAAATCCTCTACTGGATCAGATGCCCAGAAATGACAGTTCGTGTAATTTCGGAGTGAAAACTGAAGTGTCCCTGGCTGTAAATAGTGTACGTTTTTTCTCTCTTATTTTTTTTAGCGAATGCCCGTGTGCGTGTAAATGTAATTAAGATGCCTTATGAACTACAACCACGCCATGGAATAATAAGACACGGTGATGGTGTGTGCACAGTGTGCTCGAATGTCGAATCTGTAGCGCCTGATGGTAAAAAATATTGGCAACAATTACAATTTGAACGTGGAATCTGGCATCTCCTTTTCATGGCAATGATTTCCCATTAACACATACTAATAATCATCAGCTACGAAAAGAAGAAGAAAAAAGAGAATCAAATGCGCCACTTATTAGTTCTCCGTGAGGTGATGCATGCAGGTGGGATGGGATCTACAAATTCCCTAGAAACTTCTTCAGTTCATTGTTGGTCTCAGACATGCCCTTTGAACGCTCGGTCAGCGCAATGTCTTGATCCATGCCTCTGCACTTTGGCATCGGTTCCTTGATCACGAAGCTGATCAAAAGCCTAATTGCCTTTGGCATCAGTTCCCTTAACCCACTGGCCACTTCATTGTTTAGCTCGAGATAACTCGAGCGGCGTGTACCATTTCTGCTTTGGTCTTTGGATGTCCTCGCGGTCTCCATGCATGAATTGTCTATGGAAAGCAGCTGCCAATGTGGCTGCAGTGATCGTACGAAAGTATTCGCTTTGCCAGCAAGCCGTACGCTCACAAAATTTGAAGGAAAAAGAAGAAGAAACAAGCAATAGGCTTTAGTACGAACCAATTTTCAATTCCCTATTCAAAATTAAAGTTTGGAAGCTGCTACGTGGTGTATAAGTAGACAAGCCCCGACTCGAGTCAGGCATGCAACACAGCAAGAGAGCACTCCTCGTGTTGCTGTCTCGTTGGGGTTCGAGTTCAACACGTCATATATAAGACCAGGATGATCATGGCCAACAAATTGTCTCTGGTGGCCGAGCACCGTCGGTGACGACCAGGGCTGGATGAGCGGCATCGACTACACCGACTGGACCAGCGGCAAGACGTTCGCGGTCGGAGACAAACTACGTGAGTAGGCTCTCCTCCACAGGCCACAGCGGCATACGTAAACCTTTTTTTTTCCTTGCCGGTAGGCGTCATGCCAATTGCCAAAGTCCATGGGGACACTGTGCAGTTTTCAGCTATGGGAGCCAGTATCACACGGTGACGGAGGTGAGCAAGAGCGGCTACTACACCTGCTCCGGGAGCGACGCGCTCAGCGACGACACCAGCGGCTGGACCATCGTCACGCTCACGGCGCCCGGCACGCGCTACTTCATCTGCAACATTCCCGGCCTCTGCAGCAGCGGCATGAAGCTGTCCGTCACCGTTGCCGAGAGCGGCCCCGTGCCGTCGGACGCTACCAGGGGCACCCTGGCTCCGGCAATGGGCTCTGTGGTCGTCGTTGTGGCCACGGGGGCTCTGGTCACGCTCGCACTGTTCTGATGGATGTACTAAACCCGCCGCCGTGACTTCATCGCCTCAGGCCTCAGGGAAGAGCGGCAGAGAGGATACAGTGTTATATGCAGAGTGCAGACGTTTTAGTGGATTGTGTGTTAATCACCGATTGACCAAATTTGCACTAACTTTTGCGGTAACGCTGGGAAGCATATGTCTATCCTATCCATTCCTAGCCGCTCCCCACTGGTCACCGCAGTTTATATTAAATTAAAAAAAGTCACGCATCGCCGTGACCGCGCTCCGTCGCGCCTCCCGCGCACGCCTTCATCTCCACGGCGCCTCCAGCCGGCCTTCCTCTCCACTGCCGCCTCGCCCGCATCGCCGTGACGTGCTCCCCCACGACTGCACAGCTGCTGCCGCCTCGCCACGTGAGGCCGCACCCACCTGACTGCGGTTGTCATCTCCACCGCGGGCACCGCACGCGCCCCATCGCCGGGGCAGTGCAGCCGCTCAACGGGGCCACGCAGCCACCTGCCCGCTGTCATCCTCCTCCTCCATCGCGACCGCACAACCGGATCCCGCTATGCAGTGCTCCACCCGCCCGCTTGCTAGGTTTTGCTAAAGGCGCATGTTGCAAACGTATGTTTCAGATGTTTCAGAGGTATGTTGCAAATGTTTCAGATGTATGTTGCAAAATTAGATCAAGGTGTTGCATATGTTGCAATGATTGTACACGTATGTTGCAAAGGCCTGTTACCAATGTTTTATCTATGTTTTCGGACATATGTTGCAAGTGTGTTTATCTGGATGTTGCATATGTTTTACACATATGTTGCAATTGTTTTATCTGGATGTTGCATATGTTTGCAATATTTTTTCAAGTGTTTCAGAAGCATGTTTTAAGTGTTTCATCTGTCTTCTTTTGTATGTAGCAGTGTTGTATCTGAATGTTTCAAAAGTAGATCGAGTGAGTACAACGAATCTCTATCTGGTTGGTGTGGATTAGATTTCCGGTGGTGTTTCTCGACTCCACGGTGGTTAGTGGCGGCGGGCAGACCGCGCCCCTACAACAGTGGTCAGCGGCGGCTTGAGGCAGCTCTCGGACGGGTGCCTCCGGACGGTGCGGGCCCCGCATGGGCACGTGAAATGGCGCGGGAAGCGAACTGCAAGCGTGGGCGTCCAGACGCCCCGTCCCGTCGGGCGCTAGCAGTGCCGTAACTTTTGCCACCATCGTTCTTGTTGAAGCATATGTGAAATATAAGAGGATTGGGTTGGGCCAGGAGCTATAGTGCGCTCTTTAGAAGTTACAACAATATTATTACTAATTATAATTAGTACAATTATCTATTTAGAACATCTCGAGTAGTTCATAAAAAACCAATTGGTAAATCTATGAGTTTTCCAAGTGGCTAAAAAAAGTTGGGAGCATATTTATTGGATTTCTCCAATAAATTTTAAAATCTCGCTCCTAAAATATAAAAGGCAATTTTTGCATCAGGAATCCATACTATTTCAAAATCACCTCAACTTCTGTTATACTTTCTTTCTCTATTATACATTTGCATTGAAAACCCTATTCTACTCTTTATTCTTGCCACATCCTTCCACCTCTAGATTGGCCCATGGATACGCGTGCTTATATTTGCGCGCAATATAATTGGACCGGTTTTCCCAAGTGTGGATAGATTAAGAGTTGAGATTGGGAGTTATTGGAGAGTAGTTTTTTTTTCAATATTGCTGAAAAAATCAAGATTGGAAGTGGGTTTTGTAAACTATTGGAGATGCTCTTAGGTATTTGTTGACAACTAAAAAATTCTTCGGAGAGTCGTAGATGGATTGGAAAATCTAATGCATTTGAAAAGGTTAAATTTGGCTAAATTTGCATGGAAACATAAAAAACGGTCCACACTAGTTGTGGGCTGCCCCAGTAGAGCAGCGGTCATAACCGGCCTAGGTCGGGTTTTCCAAGGAGGCCCGCAGGCCACTGTTGAAACCGGTCTAGACTGGTTTTGGAGCTGGCCTGAGCCCATTTTGGTTGTCCTTTTGAAACTATCATGATCTTGTGGAAAATTTGTAAATTGTGTGTGGAATAGGTTTTATAATACCATCCCTCTATTTACACGAGAGGATCACTACCAGAGTACCAGTTGAGAGATCCATCTATCCAATAAAAAAAACTAATCTATTACAGTTCTTACCTTTTTTTCTACCTCAAGCTATTCCAACTCTATACTGTCCGGCACTTCTCTCGACGAGATTTTTCAGTGCTGTAGGTGACCTTATCGATCCTAGGGCACTCCTACTGTGCTCATCCCAAATGGGTATTCTCGGGAGGCGTTCATGGGTTTTTCGGGCTAAGAATGAGCATCAAATCGGCCTCGACGATCTGCTAGTTGGCCTTGCCATTTCGACCTCACTCTGCTGCATATCTTGTTGTGATCAAAATTCATATCAATTTATTTTTTGGCGACTCCGCTAGGGAAGAAAGCAAATGGATCTATTATGATGGTCGAGCAAACAGATCTGAATAATCCCAAGCACATCACCAAGCCTTCTGCCGATCAACTTCCTGAGGTGATTCACAAGATGATGGAGGAGAGGGAGAAGGCTCGAGCTGCTACTGATCTAGAGTATGCCCTAGCATGCTTGATGCTGAATTGAAGAGGAGCTATCAAGAAAATCAAAGACATCAAGTTGGATCTTCTTTCTACTACATGTTCATCCGACGCAAAACTGGTGAAACTCCTCCTAAGTTCGGTATTACACAAGATGAATGCGCTAATATGATTTACGATCAAGTCAATTTTTTTGAGATCAGTATGCATGACAATCTTAGCAAGTTTATGGGTAGTTTTGGTAAAAAGGAGAAAAAGAAACCCAAAATTCTTGGTTTTCCTCATAATGTGTCCACTAGTGGAGCAGCTCCGGTTGTTAGCCAACCTTAATATGTGTTGTCATTTAACTGTTTTGAAGGACAAGCGAGCGTATGGTCTAGCCAATCCATACTAGCCAATTCAGCAACTAAAATGTTAAGGCCAATTTATAAGGGCTACTACTACTTTGCCTGTGGTTACCTTCACACGTCATCGGTTCCCACCACGAAAACTAATGGCAATACAACTGCACCGCATGCCTCTTTTGCTTTACTACAGTGTTGCCACAACCTCCTAAGACTCCAATAACGAGTCAACAAGCTAATATGTATGCAAGTACTTCACAAATCGATAATCCGATCCCATGGGACAAAGCTTTAAGCTGATTTAAGGAAGATTTGCATAAATCTTTGGAAGAAAGCCTGGGTGTACATCTTAAATCAACTGAGGGTACTTATTCTAAACCATATCCTTTGTATTTTGATTATATGAAAGCACCCGATGGTTGTAAAGTACCCGACTTTATAAGTTTAGCGGTGAAGATAATAAAACTAAAATGGATCACATTAGCTTATTTCTTGCAAAATTGGGTGAAGCTAGTACCATAGAACATATGAGAATTCACAATTTTTCATTATCTTTTATTGGTATTGCTTTTTCATTGTTTTTTTCTTTATAACCTCGCTCTATTGGTCTTGGACAAATCTAGAAGAAAAGTTTCATGAACATTTTTACAATAGAACCAATGAGAGAACTTGTGTAGTTTAACATCGGTTATGAAAGGACGTGACAAGTCTATCCTTGATTATGCTAATTGGTAAAAGATTTATAGATATTAAAAACTGATGCTTTAGTTTGACAATTTCTAAGAAATATCTTGCTGATTTGACTTTTGTTGGCTTGCACTTTCGTACTGAATAAAATCTTGAGCACTTTGAGTTTCTCACTATTAATCAATTATTGCAAAAAGCTTCGGCCATCGAAAGCCAAAGTAATTTTGGAGAATCTCATAAGTCATATCGTCCTAACATGCAGGCCATTGAGTACTATTCAGATAGCTCTAACGATTTGTATAACCTACATAAGCCAAATCAGTTTCTTGCTCTTTCCTCAAGCCCATTCACTGGAATCGGTGAGAGGAAATGAAACTTAAATTGATGTATCCAAGTGTGATTGTATTTATTATGAGATGTTGAAAATAGATACATTAAATTATTGCATCCTTTGTTGTCAATTGATGAGTTGAAGCGTCATGCATATTGTAAATAAAATAATTTTGCTTCTCTTGCTACTAACAACTGTAATGTCTTTCGTCGGCAAGTTTAATCGGCCATTAATAAAGGACGATTGAGTCTATCAGGGATGCAGATTGACACAATGCACTTCCCAATCAATACTCTAGAATTGAAGAATCCTGGTATCTTGGTGATCCTAGTGAAGATGGCAAAAATTCGAAGACCTTAAGCCACAAAGTTGTGCTCAAGAGGTCCATTGTTGGTTGGGAGAGCGCCAAAAATTACCATCAAGTCTTCTGGGCTCAGTGGACAACTGAAAACTCCCGTTGGAAAGCAAACAAAGATGTTATTGTTGTCGTCAAGGTGATGGATAACAAAAGTAGTAAGGCCAACTCTCAAATTATCCTAGTTAAGGTGCATCAAAGACCCGTTGAAAATTGGAGATCCAATAAGATTAAGGTTTCTAGCAAGGAGGTGAAGTCGCAATCAACTTTTGATTGACTTATGAACAAGTACACCAAGCAAAGAACCAATTCGATGAGTGGGCCTATAAACAAAGAAGTCTCGTCACCTCTAAAGCTAGTTTATGTGCCTAAGGAGGTGTCTGCTGCTCCTATGAAGGCTATCAAGCAAAGTTCTCTTGCTATCAGCTCCATGGAGGTGCTGGTCAATGGAATTGATGAGCTGCTTGTTATTGAAAATACGATTCAATACTCTATGGAAAAAGTGGAGATAGGAGTTGCTGCAAATGATGATGAAGCCGAGAGTACCAAGCCAAACTCCAAATACTTCCAACAAAAGTAGCGCCCTTTGGGTTTGACCAAGATGCAACAACTCAAGCTCCAACACACTCGTTGTAAGAAAATCAAGCAAGAATGTTAGAGCTGCTTGAATGACGGTTGATATGCATGTATCTTCCTTAGAATAGAACGACCGATGCATACATCGCCCTTAAACTAAAAAGACCGATGAACTTGACGTCATTGCTATGGTTGTCATGTGCTTTTAAACTCACATATGCTTCTCTTAAAAACATGGGACATATGTTGATAGTCAAAATATGATCGGGAGAGTAAAAAATGTATTGGAAATCAAATGTATTTGAAAAGGGTTAAATTTGGCCAAATTTGTAAGGAAACAAGAAAACCCAGCCCATGCCTGTTTGGAGCTTCCTCGGTTGAGCAGTAGTTAGAACTGGCCAATGCCGGTTTTTCTAGGGAGGCCCGCAGGTCACTATTGAAAATGGCATGAGCCGGTTTTGTATGTCCGAGATCCTTTTGGAGATTTTCTTTCAGAAACTCTTTCAATCTTGTGGGAAACTTGTAAATTACTTGTGGAATAGATTTTCTACTAGGATTAGACCACCCCCTCTATTTATACGAGAGGTTCACAACCGATTGAAAGATCCATCTATCCATCCAAAAAAATCAATCTATTACATTATTTACCTGTTCTTCTATCTCAAGCTCTTCCACTCCCTACTATCCAGCACTCCTCTCGATGAAATTTGTCAGCACTCTATGTGGCCTTGCCGATCCTTGGGCATTCCAATTGTGCTCCTCCCTGATAGGTCTTTCCAGAAGGCATTCATGAGTTTGTCAGTGAAGAACGAGCAGCAAATCGGTCTCTTTGACTTTCTAGCCAGCCTTGTTGTTTGAACCTAACTCTGCTGCGTATCTTGGTTATATGATCAACCTCTTTGCTAGTGTGTGACTGGAATTCGTATCAATGGTACTTCTTCTCCAATTCATTTGGAGATGAAACTCTGTTTTACTTTAGGTATCACTCTGCTGCATATCTTGGTTGTATGCGGTTTAGTTCAAAATTCATTAATTGTGCTTTACATGGACTTTTTCTTTAGGTATTTTTTCTTTTTGAATTCATACGCTAACATAATCTCTATTTTTTCTTATTTTATCATTCCCAATTATTTTATTTATTATACTAGATATGGACTTTTTGTTTAATGTAAGTCATTAGATCATTATAAAATCTAGTTGAGTACTCCCTCCGTCCCATATTAGATGACGTTTTAGAATCTCTCACGAAAACCAACGATGAAGCCAAAAGACCAAAATGCCTCTCAAGGATTGGAGTAGAGATGGAGATATATTGAGAAAAGAGAACGATGATGTTAGGAAAAGAGAAATATGTATTGAGAAGTGAGAATATCAAGTATTTTGGGATAAAATTTAAATTCTATAAGGTCATCATTTTTTGGACAGAGAGAGTATGTTTATTGTTCTTTTTTCGATTAATGTGAAAAACTTTAGACCCTCCTCGACGAATGTGGTGCCTCTTTTTAATAATCTTCTAATAAGATAATATATAGATAGATGACGTAATTCTTGAGCACGAGGAGAGACTTGGTCTTGGCCGTGTCTTTAGGACACTCGGTCAAAGCATTAGGTCTTGATGTTGCTATACGCTATGGTATCAGTTCCCTGACAAGGATGCTAATGTTGCTCAAACTTTGCATCAGTTCCCTGATCAGCCATTTGCCTATATATCACTGTCTTCGATTATTCAGATATAAGATAGCTCGAGATAGATGTTCATTTCTCCTATATTCAACGCTCCGTGGCCGTGGGGTCGATCCATGAAAGCATCTAGGAAGTATTACTGGTCACACGAAATGATGCACTTGATTACACAAAGATGACAGCCGGTATCTGGCTGCTGGCCTAGTGCAGCTTTCGCGTCAAGCTTTTTAGTAGCACCAACAAGGGCATGCCAATTGCAATTGCGACATTGCACTCACCATCCACTTCTGAAGATAGTCAAAAAAGTTGTCGAGCAATTGACACGAGGCCAAAATTATAGAAATAAAATGCTAGTAACAAAATGGTCTATAAATAGGTCATCCAGCACGGTCAGGTGTGCAAACAGCAACGACAGGGGCGATTGGTCTGTTCGTATCCAGGTATCGTCATCTCCCGCCGAGACTCGACACGTCGCCAGACTAAGACGCACCATGGCCAAGCACAGCTATTTGGTTAGTGTCCTAGCACTGCTCGTCGCGGGCTACACGGCGGCGCTATCATCGGCCACGACGACGACGTTCATCGTCGGTGACGACCAGGGCTGGACGATGACCGGCGTGGACTACGTCGCTTGGGTCCAAGGAAAGACATTCGCGATCGGAGACAAACTAGGTGAGTCGTCTGCTCTCTTCATGCATGGTTCATCGCATCGCCTGCACTGCAGCTGCACGTACACGGATTATTGGCACGCCGTGGCAAATAATCGCAGTGTTTAACTACCCGAGCGAGGAGCACACGGTGACGGAGGTGGGCAGGACCGACTACTTCGCCTGCGCCGGAGGCAACGCGCTGAGCAACGACCGCAGCGGATCGACCAACATCACGCTCACGGCGCCCGGCACGCGCTACTTCATCTGCAACATCCCAGGCCACTGCACCGCTGGCATGAGGCTCGCCGTCACGGTCGCCGCCGGGGGTGGCTTGCCTCCGGGAGCCACGACGCCGACCGGCGACGCTGCGGGCGCTTCGGTTCGGCCGGTGACGGGCTCCTTCATCGTCAAGGCGATCGCGGGGGCTATGATCAAGCTCGTGCTGTCCTGATGACCGGAACGATGACCGCGCGATTGCCAGTGACTGACTCACTGTACGTCGTCTCACGCTTCATGGCTATTGTACTCCGTGATTGGCCAGATTTTGATACGTTTTCCGGCGATTGTTCGTCGAGCACCTCAAGTATGTCCGTGCCCTTGCAGAGTTTCCGACTTTCCGTTTACTCGTGCCTGCTCTTTACGTCTCTTTGGTTCGTCTGTGATTTGAGAATATATATATCTCACGGTACTAGTTGACGCTAAATCCCTCAATACACGATTAAGGGCTAGATTGCCCGACCGGCACATGGCTAATATACACAGCGGAGGTAGATCTAGACGGTGACACCAGCCACCTGGTGTTAGTTCTTCGCCAGAAAGACCCACAAACGCCTCCTAGAAAGACACATCGCGGAGACGCACAAGAGTCAGCAGGGGTGCCCTACAATAAGTAAGACCACTTAGAACGTTGGCAAATCTCATAGACATGAAGAGGGTTGGAAGATCTTGATGTAGAAGATAAATGCCCTGTTTGGGAGAGCTTCGCTCCCTGATTCTTCAGCCGACGGAGTGATTTCATTAGATTCCTAGGAGGGAAGAGGTTGATTCTTCGACGGAGTGATTCTATTAGATTCCTAAGGAGGGAGGAGGTGGAGAGCTGATGAAAGAATTGATTCTCTGCTAACCCACACCAGAATATAACATGGAGTAGGGTAAAGCAAGTTTTTTTAGCTCCCAACTGCTAGTGTGAATAGAGAAATGATTCTCCCTTGCCCCCCCTAAATCAGTTAGCATTTTGAGCGTTTTGCTGGTTAGGAGTGATTCTCTTCAGAGAATCTGGAGCTGGAGCTCTTCCAAACGGCCCAAAAAACTAAGGTGTGATTCTCTCATATAAATAGAGAGGGTGAATTTTAACCTAGTAGGAAACTTATTTCACACGCGATCTACAAGTTTCTCATGAGGCCGAAGGAATTTCCGACAAGAAAATCACGATTTAGCCTCGAACTTTTAAAACCGGCTCAGAACGGTTCCAAAACTGGCTTGAACTAGATTGTACATGCTTCACACGGCTTCTCTGCCGAAACCGGTCTGGGCTTTGTCCAGCCTTCAGTCTTCCTCAATTGAAACCTTGGTGTACTGATTTTTACTATTTTTTACAAATTTACTCTAAATCAATCCAAATTTGACCTTTTTATTGCACATTATTTTTCAGTCTATTTTTAACCCTCTCAATCGTATTTTAGATGTCAACATTACTATTACTAGTTGGAGACACAAAAGGAAGAGTACATGCTAATTCTCATGAGACTAGCTAAGAAAAAAGGGATAATTCTAAAAATCCTCATAATAATTAGAAACATCTAACCTTTAATTTGTTATACTCTAATCACTATCATCAATAATAACCATTTGATTTATTCTATTTTCTAAAAATACACATCTCTGCTAATAAAAAAATACATAGAGTAATTATCTAAATTTGCATCTAAATTACCCGCAATTGTTATTATAAAAGATAAATTAAAATAACTCTCTAAAATTACATATAAATTACCCACTTCAACCATTAAAAATGATTTAAAACAACAACTTAACCTTGTATCAAAATTATCCACCATACATTTGCCAGCACCTATCCCGCTGGCCTCCATGCGCCTTCATTGACTTTTTGACCTATTCTGGAGCTGTAGTGACAAACACAGTAAGGCGAAGCATATAAGAGCAAGATCAATAATAAAGCTACGTAATTGCGTATAAATGAAGTCGTAAGATTTAGGTTATACAATAGTTGTCTTCTATTTGGCTATAATTTTTTATTATAATATGCTACTACTTTTTCTCATGACTCACATTCACCTTCCTATTCCTCCTCATCCACCTGCTATCTGGGCCTACCAGTACATAGGCTACCGTGTTCAGCTTGTTGTTTGCATGTGAGAGTCAAACTCTCCTTCGTCTCCTCCCTCTCGTCCACATCAGCAATGCTGACTAGCTTGGCTATAAGAGCTACAGATGTTTGTGGAGCAATGAGTTAGGGAGAACAACAATGATAGGGAATGACAATGCGACATCATTTTATTGTAGGGAGGTGTGTCCATAACTATTTCTTCTTGTCGGTATATTTGTCTCTAGCAAAAATTATGGGGTATTAATGCGGATGAAACTAGATAGTAGCACAAGGGACAATGTTGTATATAGGTTCAAACCCTCGTGATAAGGTATCACCCTACGCCCTATGTCTGTGGTTGTATTCCTTATGCCCGGTATATGAGATGTACTAATTAGAGGGCTCCTTACCCACCTTGTACAATCGGGGTTAGGGGTCTAAGGTTTGTTCTACCTCTAAATGCATTTACAGATTTGTTTCCTAGTCGGCTACAATAGAATCTCGAGCCATAAGGGATAAGGTTTATCTATGCCTTACATATCAAGTAGATGACACATTTCTTGTAGTGTGAAGATACACCGAGTAAACTACAGACTCCAAGTAGACGACCCAACCCACCCTATGCCTATATGCTAGTTCTGTCCTCTGTGATGATACTCGTGGATCAGGTCATTCACACTTTATCCACAACGACATGCCCCTCATCTGGGCCGAATCGATAGCCTAGTCATAGGTATAGGTGACCCAGTCCACACGCCCCTCAGATACCTGGAGCCAAAACCGTGGTTATCTTATCTTGACATGTTCCCTACTATATAGCCTTAACCGATAGCAATACACGAGTATATTTTCTAGTATATACTAATGACACCAATACCCATGACAATAATTTATGTAAGATGTTAGTTTAGATAAATTTATTTATAATTATGACATATCTATATTCATAATATAATTATAAACACACTATTTTTTCTAGGAAAAAAATAATGTGACACATATATTTGTTACATAGAGGAAATCTACCATCCGGAGACAAAGGAGGTTAATGCATAGTGTAGACCAAAGGTAGCCATGGTCTCTCAGTTTTTGAAATTCCTTTAGGCCCCATTTAGATCCTTGGAATTGAATTCATTTTAATTATCATAATTTATACACGAGAACTGCTTCAATACTCCTCTTTCAAAAAAAAAAATAGCACCAATCTCATAGCAGTCCACACAACTATTTTTTTTCTTAATTATTTTTCTCTTAGGTCCCTATGGGCCTGTTCGTCCAACCCAGCCCATGTCCGGCCCCGACCACGTTGTCGCTGTGTGCTTGCCGACTTGCCGATTGCCATCGTAGCGTCGCCGCATGTTGCCGGGAGGAAAACAACACGGGTGGGCTGTCTTCCAACGGGCAACTCCGTTTACTCGTTAATAAAGGTAAAGGACACAACGCCGACCATTCCCCGGCGATTACCGGAACCAGCGGACGACATCAGAACCTTTATCCCCTCCTCCGATCCTTCCATCCTGTTCGTTCGGATTCTGCTTGTTTCTTTTCCTCGTGCGGCGTCAAGCAGCGGACCTATGCCCGACGAAGGAGATGGAGCGGACGAGAGACGGCAAAGCCGTGGTGGTGCCAGCACTGCCCAACTAATCTACATGCTCAGGAATCAACTGCACCCATTCCATGGACTCGAGGATATATGGTCTGCTCCATGGACCGGCCTGTGCAGTGCAGCTCCATACCTCCATGGACTCCACGAACCGCCATGAGGTGGTCCGGCCGCCCCGGGACCCCGGCCCGTGGCCGTACATAGACCAGCTCAACGACTCCTCCAGGAAGAAGTCCACCTTGGCACACCATCAGCATCCGCGGCTAGAAGACGGCATGGGAAGAAATCTGGCTTGGTGTGCACGAGCACCCGAGTTGTTTTCTCCCGGCGACGCGTCTCCGTCTCCGTCGACGAGGAAACAAAATGCACACCGAAGAAAGGGGGATCTAGAAGATGTGTTCGGCTTTGGGTCAGGGATGGACACGAGTTGAACGGGCCAGGCTCAGGCCCATGCGGGATTGCGGGTCCTAGGAAAAACAATTAAGAAAAAACCTATTTAGATAGGCTGCTTTAAGATCCGTGCTATTTTTTAGAAAGAGGATATTGGAGCAGTTCCGGAAAGACATGTATTAATTAAGCTAATATGATTGTATATGTATTATATTTGTATATTATTGTTGGCTATATGAGAGAGATACTTATTTGTTGCATTTCTACGGTAGAGGAGCGAGTTGAAGAGCGTGTTATAAGTTGTAAAGTAGAAACATAGCATGATGATCTATGGAATCAATTTCCATCTCTCACCCTATTAATTTGAGATAGTCTTATTTATGAACTTTGAAAAGTGGTGGAATGTCAAATTTCAAGGCAAATAGCCTAGTTTATTAAGTAGATCTTAATTCCTCCAAATGAAAGGATCCAAACGGCCCCATAGGGTAAATGATGATTGTTATACTTATGTATTAATATCTTCTCAAGGTTAGCATTGTTTGTCCCATAGAACTCACTCCAAGCTCCATCACGATGTTGAGTAGTGTGGGGCAGGCTTAAACAACCATTCATAACATTATAGTAATTAAGAGAGTGCAGTCTAGGACCTAATAATATCCTTGTTTTTTTATAAAAAATACATAGGGTAATTTTGAATATAATAGAATGTATAATAAAGCACAACAGTTTCAACTTACCATGTGAATAAAAAAATTGAAATTCAAAATCTAAGTTTATGACGTCATGAGACGTAGGTTGCAACAACCACCACCGTAATTAGGCTAAGGTTTTAACAAAATGCATGTTGAAACACGGAGGAACCATGCAAAGAGACAAAATGCAATAAATATGGATGAAAAAAATATATCCCTCTTTGGCAAGACTTCTGTTGGGGCTTATCCATGGCTTAATTAAAAGCCCTACCAAACGAGCACACACGAGAATGATTTATGAAGCAAAAACCAAGCAAAAAATTGTGAAACCAAAGCTGTCTTAGCCTCTTAGGGCCAGAAGCCGAAGCCACCAAAACATGGTTTTTCTTGGCTTCTCTATTTTTGAGTAGCCCAAACCCTACTAAAAAGGGCTTATAGAT